CGTTAGTGATACAAGCAAAGCTTGAAAGTACGATTTCAATTATTAAGCATCAAACACAATTAACCGGCAGGCGTTCAGCAATTTCTTTTTGACTGCTTACGTAGTTTTTTTAGTTTTGAGTTTGGTAGGGTTCCATTGGTCAATCTATAAGTTTGGTAAGGTTCCATTCGTGCCTAAAAATGATACCAGAAAGCAGATTACCAGTTAGTCAGTCCAGATCTGAAAAAAGGACAACGATTAGCTCCCTTAAGAAGGAAAGCAAACTGACACTTGTTAAAGATAAGCCGGAACGCAAAGAAAAGGTGGAAAACACGCAACGGGAGCCGAAAACACGGGGTAGAGCCTGGACATGGGACATGATAATAAACCCGCCACAAGAAGAAAAAAAGATCGACATATCTTCTAATTTATCCAGGGTAAGRAAACATGGTGTTACGAAAATTCAAGGYGCATGGCATATTCAGAGAAGATCCCTTGATGATTCTTTGTTTCCCGTGCACGGAAAAAGTTTTGAAGACCTTAGAAAGTTATCTGTAAACATTATTGCTAGCTACAAATTTATAAAAGAACCAAAACAAAGACCTTCTGTGTATGAAGAGGAGCCTTTTTATTTGCGTCCTGAAAACGGGTCCTTTCGACGTAAGTCTTGGCAGTCAGGCATACAATCACAACGCGTCTCTTCACGGTCCGACCAAGATCGAACTGAAACATCAGAACACGAAGAGACGCCTTTAGCAGAAATTCTTCCACCACTACTTTTGCCGAGTATTTATGAACAGGAAAGAAGGAAGAAAGACGTCAAAAGTTCTGGGAAGAAACAGCGGAATCTGAGAGAAAAMCCCGAGAAAAAAAACGGTCACAGTGAAAATCTTACAAGRCGATTAAAGGACTGTAGATATTTGCGAGTACCGCAAAGCCGATTCAATTTATTGGAGTAAACCAAACACTAAAAGTGTCTRGTGAACTGGACCATGATCCACCAGCATGCTTTGCGGTCCACGTTTATGATTTTTCATGTATGGAAAATGTTGTGACTTCGAATAGAGCAAAACGTTGTACACCATTACAAGTGTTCTACATGTAYTCTAGCTTGAACTTTTCATGTACTCTTTTTGCACTCTAGATCATACTAGCTAAAGTAGGCCAGGCTTTAAAACTGTAATAGCGGTTAGGTGATATTGAATCTCAGATTGTTATACGTGATAATCTTTATATTTAAAATTGCTTGATATTTACTCGTGACGAATGCATCAAAAGTAAGGGAAAGAGTTTATATTTATTTCAAAAGACTATGTGGTTGCCAATAAAGTATAGATCATTGCATTGGCCTCTGTTATCGGCATCACTCCGAAAGCCCTTTACATAAAGAAAACTAAATTCAAAAATACAGAGCGCCAAACAATTAGAAATGTTTTAGTCCCCGATTGATCAAAAATATTATTTCAATTAAATCATAAAGCATTTTTTATTTAACTATATATAGCTT